GTCCCCCAGGGCTCGGTGTTGGGGTCACTCCTGTTTAACATCTTTATTGATGATCTAGACGATTGGATCGAGTGCACCCTCAGTCAGTTTGCAGATGACACCCAGTTGGGTGGGAGTGTTGATCTGCTCGAGGGTAGGGAGGCTCTGCAGAGAGACCTGGACAGGCTGGAGCCATGGGCTGAGGCCAACTGGAGGAGTTTCCATAAGGCCAAATGCCGGGGGCTGCCCTTGGGCCACAACAACCCCCAGCAGCGCTACAGGCTTGGGGAGGAGTGGCTGGAGAGCTGCCAGTCAGAGAGGGACCTGGGGGTGTTGATTGACAGCCGGCTGAACAGGAGCCAGCAGTGTGCCCAGGGGGCCAAGAAGGCCAATGGCATCCTGGCTTGTGTCAGCAATAGCGTGGCCAGCAGGGACAGGGAAGGGATCTGACCCCTGTACTGGGCACTGGTGAGGCCGCCCCTCGATTCCTGTGTTCAGTTTTGGGCCCCTCACTACAAAAAGGACATTGAATGACTCGAGCGTGTCCAGAGAAGGGTAACGAAGCTGGTGCAGGGTCTGGAGCACAGGTCGTACGGGGAGCGGCTGAGGGAACTGGGGGTGTTTAGTCTGGAGAAGAGGAGGCTGAGGGGAGACCTTATCGCCCTCTACAGCTACCTGAAAGGAGGGTGCAGAGAGATGGGGATGAATCTCTTTAACCAAGTAATAAGAGATAGGACAAAAGGTAATGGCCTCAAGTTGCACCAGGGGACTAGATATTAGGAAGCATTTCTTTCCAGAAGGGGTTGATAGGCATTGGTATGGGCTGCCCAGGGAGGTGGTGGAGTCCCCATCCCTGGAGGTGTTTAGCGCTGAGGGATATGGTCTAGTTTGGAACTGTCAGTGTTAGGTAGATGGTTGGACTGGATGATCTTCAAGGTCTTTTCCAACCTAGATGATTCAGTGATTCTGTGATACTGTAGCCAAATGTGGGTATGCAAATGTAAAGGTAACTTTTGTCACAGGATCCATATTGACATTAAACCCTAATCTAGATCAAGGGCTCACTGAGCACTACGTACTCTGTAAGCATAGCAGAAGACAAAGTTTGGGGTTTTGAAGGGTTTGCTTGGTGGGTTTGGTTTTGTGTTGCTTGTTTTTTTGTTTGTTTGTTGTTTTTTTTTTTTTTTTAACTGGGGCATAGAAAGATTACAGATGAATCAGTAATGAGACATATTAGAAAATACAGTTATTTCCATCTTGTCAGATATGTATCTTACATCAGTCTACAAAACAAGGAAGAAAGACTTTGACAGTATATATCCAGATAGTTCATCCTGTTTTTTTTCCTCTTCCACTCCAGTGAATTTACTGTTATTCATTCCCATTATGGACTATGATTTGGGTTTTTTTGTAGCATCATGTCAATATATGATTAGACACAAATGAGCTTCTTCTGTCCCCTCTAACTCAATAGTAATTCAAAATATCGCAAGTGCTGTAACAGGGTTCTAAGCAGTCCAATATTTCTGTGTGAAATTGTGTGTGACATTTTTCCCTCTGATGTGAAAGTGCACCTGCATCCCAGAGAGGAAGTCAGATGGCTTTGCACTAAACCACAGTTCTTATGGTTGCCCATATAGACAGGAATAAGTCAATTGGAAACAGCTGTGAATAAGCATCTGTTTAGAAGTATGAAGGATCTAAGATTTTTCTGAAAATAGAAGTCAGTAATGAGTATATGTAAAGGCAGCTTTAGAGAACATAACTTTAAACTCTTCATTAAAAAGATGTATGTAAACCACATATATATAGTGGGGATTTTAAGATATATTTCAAATTCAGTTCCTATAGTCCTCAGCACAGTTACAGTTCCTTAAACTGGCATCAGCCCAAATAATTTATTAATAAGGCTGCTTTTGTTGCCAAATGAAGCCCTGAATGCATGGAAGATTTCAAAGACCTTCAGGCAAAACCCACACAAAAGTCTTCTTTATTTATAAGTATACATGTATCTTGACACAGCTGCCTTGTTTCCTCAATTAGGGTCTGCTCCAGCTGTGTCCTAGAACCCTTGATACTCCAGTTGGTGTAGCTTGAAATGAATAGATCCTGCCTCCTGATTTCTGAGGAAGGCATACAGAGAAAAGACAGAAATACCTTGTTCATGACCTAGAAATCTATTCCATATGCAAATATCAACATGTAGCATAGCTTATATTTCAAAGAGATAAAATGTTGTTACTTAAATATTCTTTTAATTATAGTGTCTACTGTGAGCTATTCTTATTATTTGTGGATTATGTTTCATTCCACATTTTCTTCTGGTTCTGTTACGAAAATAAGTTCAGTGAGGAGAGCCTTGAAACATTTGTAATGAGTATATGTAAAGGCAGCTTTAGAGAACATAACTTTAAACTCTCCACTAAAAAGGTAAACTGCTGTGCTACAGGGTAGAACATTGAAGAAATAGTCATAAAGTTCCGATGGAAAGACAGTAAAAGCCCAGGCTGTTGCATGAAGCAGAGAAACTTCTAGATCAGAATGTAATGATTAAATCATTGGAGAGAAATTAATACAACAGATGAAACTGAGTTTTCTTATATTCAGATGTGAAGACATCACCATAGAGAATTTAGCATCCAGAAGGATTATAATTTTGAACGTATAAACATTTGTTGACTTCAGCTGGAACAAAGAACTATCTTATGCCGTAAAATGCAAAAAAAAAGTTTGATCCAGGTTGAGGGGTGTAGACATGCAAACTGCCTGCAGAAATCATTGTATATGTTCAGTATGATGAACTTTGAAAACTACTGTTTTTCGGGATATTTTTGAATTGTTGTCATCTGATGACTAAGACTGAGATACATTACAGACATTATGTAGACACCAAGAATTTCAATAACTGGAAGCGATTACAAGGCTGTTTCAGAGCTATCTGAGATAATTTAATCACTACTTAAGTGTCTTTTTTTACCTAGCACATCTTGATTTTTCTTTTATAGAACCATTTGTCTAACTACATGAAAGTACATTCAACATCGTTTTCTTCTGTTAAAACAATTTCTTAGTAAAACCTCAAATAAAAGATGCTTCTGAATTCTGCATTCTTAAGTACAACTGGCTTCTACAGACACACAAATGTAACTGAACTATGTGGTATTAATTATCTCAACAGTTTGTGGCTTTTGCGTGTATTTCAGACTGTTTCTGTCAATAGAAGAAATATTTGCAGAATCTGGGTTTATAGTGTTACCTCATTTATCAACCCAAACCAGATAACATGGGTCTGATGTACTAAGCCACCTACTTGGTTGATTATTTTTAAACACTAATTGTTTGGCTTCTTGTCTTTCATAACATTACCCCCCCACCTTGACATCTCTAGACAGCTCATAACTTCATATCAGTTAGAATGATAAGGATGCAAGCTCAAGGAAGTCAGTTGCAGATCTTGGAAGACTGAACATGAGCTTCTTTAACACCTCATTATCTGCTACTTATTTATTTAATGCACTTATGTTTTTCTTGGAGTATTTGTGTTTAAATCAAAGTCTACATCCAACATAGATAGGGTGAGTACAAATTGTTTGATGCTACACCGAGGCTGTTTTAGAAACATGATATAATACTTCTTTACTAAATTAGTTATCACCTATTTTTTTTTGTTTTTAGTATACCCCTATCATGTCCCCCTCTTGAGGGCACACAGGAAAGAAAAGAACTCTTGTGATGAAAGAAGTGGAAAAAACCAATCCATCCATTCAAGCAGGTACCCTAGGTCCTGCGAATATAAGTTAGTCAAGTGTTACGTGGGCAGACTGGTGACCCTGCCCTGTAGTTACACAGGAACACACATGTTGTGCTGCCAAAGCAGTAAACCTCCTGTGACTATGATGGAGGTATGGCATAGCTACTTCTCTGTCTGATCCTCTCCCCTACATAAGTACACGCTGTAAGCAGGCTACGGAAGAAAGAGAAGGGAAACAACGTACAATGGACTACAGGTGTCATATTCTGTAGCCACAGCTTGCTTTGAGAGATTTTCCCATAGCATTAGGACTCCAAGCCAACATGGAGGAGAGGGAAGGGGCTATGCAGCCACAGATGTTTCTTCCACGTAGCTGGGACCATGCAAGCAGCATTGGGTAACAATAAGTGAAGGTAGCTGGAGGTTGGCGAGAAGGAACTAATTACTGTTCACTATAATTTTCTTTCAATAAAGTAGTATCTTAACATTGCAATGCACCCTAATTACCTGCCATACACACTCCGCTGCTTGGTCTTAAAAAAACACTTATTCCTAAACGACAGATGAAGTTTAGAGTTCCCATCTGAGCCTGTAACCATGATCAACTTTTTTACAATGCCAAAAAAGCTTTTCTCTTCTGGACTGGGAGCTCCATAGGCAGTTAGAGATTCAGTTACATATTTTCTGCTATGTTTTAGACCTTCCAATTTCTCTGAAAGTATGTGCATATGTCAATGTGCTATGTCTGAAATATATTTAGCTACACTAACACCTTTGGAGATAAAAGGCAAGTGTATGTCTGTAGCTGCTCCTAGTCCAGCCATCTCTGCCTGGCACACTTTTCTGTCTCTGATGCCACCCATGCAACACTCCAGATCAGTCTCATTCACATGTGCACAGAGTTCAATTCATCTCTTCTGTTCTTCATTGCTATAAATGCCATTTACCCTTATGCACAGCTAGCTACTGCATGGCCTTCCTTCTACTTAGAGGTCAGAAAACCTCTTAAGAACTTAAGACCATTCAGAACTGTTCCCTGGGATGGCTATAAACTAAAACCCCGAATACAGCCTTCTTTCCTGCAAGATAATTCCGATATAATCCCAGGAGAGTTCCAGATACTGCCAGCAACCTGTGAGCCAGTTAGCCTTGCATCCAGCCAGAATCCTTATTTAGCAACTCATCCTGTTTTTCCTCAGTTCTTAGATCATTTCTAAAACATACCTTTAATAAAAGTAATAATAATAAAATGGTCATAGCGCACCCTTACCTTATTTCCTGCCAAAACATTCTGATGTGGATTCAGCAACTTCTGCTTGTGTTCTGTAGTAATATTTCCATGCAGACTATACTTATCCGAGAGTCAGAGTGTCTGGCTTTTTTGCTCTGGGCACCATTTCCAGTCACATGAACTGGGAACAGACTGATTCAGATGTTAACAGCCACTGACGTTTGCAGGAATGTTGGTTAAAAAAAAAAAATAAATCAAATCATAAATGCCTTGAGAAATCTCACTGCTTAATAGACTGATCACAGAAATTATTGAAAATATGGTATGCGTGTTATCTGTGAGGAACAGTATCATATATAAGTGTTCATGATAACATGACACATGGCTATATAGTATGTTAAGGAGTAAAGCATATTGAATAAAGTTCTGTCCTGACATTCATGGCTTTACAAGCTCACTGAGGTAGGACTTGTGTGCAAATTCGGGAAGAATCTGACTTTTTGGTTTTAAATGGATGTCAGAGTTTGAGAAAATAAATGGGATTAATTCCACCTCTGGATGAGAAAAATGATGATTGAGAATAAACCTGTGATTGACACCTAAGCTTCCAGTAAACTCCCTTCCCTCTCTTAATTTATTTAAAAAACATTTTTCAATTTTGTAAAGGGATTTATTTTTATTACCTTAGATTTGATGGTGCTCTCCATCAGGTTTGCAACATTGGGAGAGGAAACAGATTTGTGGTTTACATTTCACAGGACTGCAGTAATGGAGACACCTGGAGTTTAGCTCTCATTTGTTCCAATTTATTTCAGTCTCCAAGGAAGTCTCATGTTCCGAAGGTGACCTCAAGGGGCATAGATATGTCCCTGAATCATTGTATTTTAGGATGAGGTAGCTGGGTCCAAGTATCTGACAGACTCTTATTTCTCTCTGTGTAAACAGAAATTACATAGATTATTTTAAGCTGTCCTCCAACCTAAGATGCTTCCTTTCTGCACTCTCTGGTCTTTTAAAGTGAACAAAAAAAATTGAAGACCTCATGAAGACTACAAGGAGCATTCAGAAGTGTAAAAATCTTTTGCCTCTTGAGATGAGCATAGACAGATTAAAGTAATACACGCACATTTTCCCTGTATAAACTTTGTGTGGTTCTGGGAGCAGAATATTGATATTTTTCTAAGGGGAAACAGAGAAAGAAGGAAGTCCTATAGTTCTTTCCTCTTTCCCCATTAGCCACAACTGTTGCACCTTCAACTAAAGAGGTGACCAAACTCCTGTCAAACCAAGTTTCCATGCTATGAACAGGAGGGAAAAGAAATTGATAGGTGTGCAGCAGTGCAGAGCAGTTGTTCCAACATAGCTAGTAAATACCTGTTGCCTAATGAATGCTTTGCAGGAAAAGCCTATACACATTTTGTGGGTGTCAGACTTCCTAACTATGCACAGATCGCCTGTATCATACTTGTACATTAAGTCTATCCAACATTTGTCAGAAAGGGGTTGATTTTATATGTTTGGTATATTCAATCAAAGGAAAAAGCAAAGCCATTTACTCTTAGATGCATTTTTTTGGTTCAGAAGCTAATGGCAATCAAATTCAGTTATCATTTCCCTCCAAGATGAATTAATGTCGGGAAACTCCCCCTTCCTATACATTTCAGATACAATAAGCATGTTAGACTGAATGATTACGAGCTACACAGCCAATGCCTGTGTTCCACAGAAATGGCTGGGGTATGCATTAAGTAGTGTTTTAGTAAGAGATACTATTCATGTGGTGTAGCATCCACACTGGCAGATCTGTCTGATGCTTGCAAATAATTGAGAATAGATTTAATCTTGTCATTTGTTTTGAAAATTCTTCTGAAAGATATGTAATTTGGGAAAAAACTATCTAGATCCATTATAGTGCTGTGTATACATCCCAAATGATAGGTGTAATGAGGCAGTGAGTAGAACAGTTGTTTCATTTAGTTTGAAAGCATAAGAAGATGTTACTGTTTCTTTGTCATATTTTCCATTTAAATTACTGTTACAGAAGGAAGTGTTCATCTAAAGAAAAAAAAAAAAAATAGTTTTAGCTGAAAGCTGGGAAATTCCAGTACTGCAGAAGGAAGAATTCCAACAGCCCTCAAAGACAATCATGGGACCAGCATAGTATAACTGTTTCATGAGACTTCTTCCCCAACCCAAGACTGAACAGAACAGACCTAAAGAAGATTAGGTAGCTCACAGTTTTATCCTGCACATTGACTGCATCACTATTAAAACACTAACTTAGACAGAACAAAGACATCAGAACCAGCTGAAAACGCCACAGCTCAAAAAAGGGTGATTTATCCTGCCTGAGTGTGTTAGCAAGATTATAACAAAGACACTATTTGATATTATTTCACAAAGTCAGATCATGAAGTAACAAATGATGTGAAGATATTTGGAGGAAGAAAAACAGTGCAACAAAGATAAGAAGCTAGCTGAGGGCCAGAAAACATATATATTTTTTTTTTTTTAAAAAAAAAACACCACAAAAACCTAAACACCACCAAAACCTAAACACCACAAAAGCCCCCTGGTGAGATTGCTTTAAAAATAGAATGGGAAAACTTTCTTTTTTTTTAATTAATTTTGTTTGTAGAACATTCACAGCAATAAGTTAAACAGAGGCTGAATATGCTCTAGCTCACCAGCCTACAGAGCTCCTTCTACTTCAGTTATCAGGCAGTGGGGGATCCCCCTGAATTTATGATCCAGGTTTCAATACCCTAAGGAGGGCTATGCACTGATCATTTACTGAGTCACACATGTGGGTGGATTTTGTGTCTAAATGAGCTAATTTTATTGCAGGTGCAAGTCAGAGAAATTGCTCCTGAACCTGTTTTTCTCCAATTATCAAATCATTCTATCCTAATGTTAAGACAAGCTTGATCAAAATTGATATCCTACAAGTGAACCTCCCATATGGAGGTGTTTTGCTACAATATGTCTCTCAAGGTTCTAGTCAGTCAAGAAGGGAAAGTGGATTTTAATTTGTTGTTTATACCTGTCAGGAAAAAAATATAGTAAAGTTGCCATATTTAGTATCAGTGTCTAGGAAACTGCAATGCTGGAAGAGCCTGAGGACATTGGTTTTCCTGGTTGGGTGTGGAGGGTTTTTTTTGGTGAAGGACACAAATACAAACCTAGCTTTGGTGAAATATAAGTAGAAGATAGTATGCACTAAAACCGTTGTCCTGCCAAAAGTCATGTCTAGGATAGAAACATAAGAATGTTTCCACTGTCCAAAGAAGTATTTCGAATGAGATTCAATAAAGGTAGTTGCCTTTTCCCCCCACAAGCTAGAAAGGTTATTTTTTGGGACAAAAGGTACAAAAGCTTCTGTGAAGAAGAATCTTGCAGAGGTTCTTGAAGTCAGAACTGCTTTGTTTCCATAACACAATCTCCTCAGAGAAGGTGATTGTTACAGCTAAGTGCCCTGTAATAGCCTTGTTATTGGCCTTCCATATGCTGGAAATGAAAAGTTAAATTAGATTTTGAAGGAACCAGGTGCCCACCAAGTTCTGATCCTACTCCCACTACAAAGTGGGGCCTTAGAACTGAAAGCCACACAACTTGAAAGTTAAGAACTGAAACTCAAAAGAACATCACTGTTTCAGAAATGCAAAGCAACAAACAAACCAGTTTTAGTATAAAGGAATGTGTTCAATAAGCACATTTTCCTTTTCTTGAAAGTTCAGCATAGAGAAAGCTCTTTTGCTGGTTTCAAATCCTGTGATATAATATTTGATCCAATTTCTCAATTCTGCTATATGTGTGATGTACCAGTACTTGTGATGATCCAGACACTGAAATTCTTGCATATAGAAAAACTTAACATTTTAAACTGAGTTTCAGATCAAGACAGAATAGTATCACACCTCAGCAGAGGGACTCAAAGGACACAGGGAAAAAGTCAAATTATGGAGCAACATGGAGGTCTGTGCTACTGTTATTACTGTCCAGAAGTGTGTCTTACACATACAGGGAGAGAAAAAGAAAATGTCCTCTTTTTCTTTTGTGAGCCTTTTGTTAAGTGAATCATCTCTCTGGTACAGAAACCCATAGGAAAAGAAGTGATAAATCTCTGTAAGTTTGTCTTTTAGTTTTTAACCTTTATTTTACCTTCTGGTAATTATTTCACACCCACTTAGAGAAATACTGCTGAACATACTGCTTCATCAGAGCTCCTACAGAGTGCTGTGTAGAGTAAGTTAAGGTAGCTATTTTGCTTAAGCAGTTTTTTATATGATATAAAGTATTCTCAGAACACTGGATGAATATTATTAAATTTTATGGTATCCTGTACAGAGATAGCAATCATTTTATGGAGACAGAGAGAGTCATAAAGCAATTAGAGTATCATCTTGGCCTTTACATCATATTCTGCAGTTCAAAGGCTGAGTCAGAATTCCTAGAAAAGTCCTACATCTTTGGGACAGACAGGACTACAGTTGAAGGAGTATATTATTACCTTAAAAAATATAAAAATCCTATCAGACAGCAGAAATGGCCAGAAATAGTACAGAATATGTCTACAATAACTATACTACTGCAGTTCTTGCTCTCAGCCTAAAAGAGCAACTTCATTGCTCCTGTAGATGCTGTCAGCTGCAGGAAAAAGGCCCAGTCAGGATTTTCTGTGGATTTTTTGGTGGCCTGAGAGAATCTTACTCCCAGTATATGGGATAAACTATACTGCCTCAGAAATTAGGTGCATGTCAGTGAATATATTCACAGTTTTAACACCCTGCCTACTGGGTCTATCATTCAGTCTGTAAAAAAGAAGAATCTGTGTGATGAGAGAAAGATAACAAGAAGATAAGAAAAGAAAAGAAAATCTAGACTGATCATTAAGACAATGAAGTTGATGACTTTATAGGAAAACGTAGAGTTGTTTTCTAATGATTGCAAGGATTGGGAACGTGTTTCACAGTTCAAACTGAGAAGTAATCCTAGCATCTGTCATAGTTTTCTGAACAGATCCTGGGTAATTCACTCAGTTGAACTTGCAAGTAATGCTTTGCATGCTCAGCAAACACGTGAATCGGAAGGGGGCCCAGAAACAGCAGC